GGATATGATTGGTTTGGATTGGAATGAATAGAGTCATGAGTAGAATGGTAAACTACTACAAAATTATTTGTGTAACTAATGGGACCTATTGAATTACACCTTTGTTTCCCAAACAAATGTTAGGATTGGATATATTCAAAGGTTTTAGGGTTTTAAAGTGAATGAGAGGGTTTGGCTTGGATGGGTTAGGATATAAAAAATGAAATTCTATCCTATCCAATCCTATTATCCAAACACACCCTAGGAGTAGATGGTGACAGGGAGAGTCTTGACGATAGTGGCCAGTGGAACCGTAACTGATCGTCTTATCTTTTTGTCTACCTTGTTGTTAGGTCATATTCTAACTTTTATAAGTTGTTTACAAACTTTATGAATTGAAAGTAAGACATTTCTGTACACAATAATCTTCGCAGAGTTTTATTTCATAAAATAATAAATAACAGAATAAATCGACTAAAACAATAAATGACAGATAAAATGAGAGCCACTGGCTTGTACCCGCTATTGATAATAGCTCTTCAAGTGTTCGGTGTCCTATAGGTGGGCCAAGACTTTCTTGGCAGAGTTGGAGTCGCCTCCTCCTCCTAGCCCTCAGGAGATTGTCTGAATTTCTCCGAGGGGTTACTGGCGTTTTCTATCCTCCTGGTCCCGGCCAGGTGGCGGGGCTTGTCCTCTGCCAACAACGTACTGCCTCAACTGGCCATGCTGTATGAGCTCCTTGATCTGCCTTTTAAGATCAAAGCAGTCATCATTATCATAATCTTGGTCGCGGTGGAAATGGCAGGAGTTGTTTGGGCTCCTACAGTTCAAGGCGGTCTTCATCTTCTCTGGCCAGTGTACTATAGGATCATCTTGTACTTGGAATATGATATGCTCCACAGAAGCATTGAATGGCATGAAGGTTTGTCGCTCTCTCAGAGGCAGGGGACCAAGGCGGTCCTTGACATAGATTTTCACTATTCTATTCTTTTTGTTCTTTACTTCCCGTTTTTCTTCACGGGTGTCCTTCCTCTTCTCGCCCCCATGAAAGGACTCACCTCGTCTGGCCTTAGTGACATCCTCAACATTCATGTACTTTTGTGCCCTTGACAACAATTTGGGTATGCTGGATAGTGGTTTTTTTTTAGGACAGCGAATATAAAACTGGAGGAGCGCTAACCTGCGATAAAGGCAGTCATGGTCACCTTGTCGTTTGGCTCCTCGATTTGGAGAGCCTCCTCGTTAAAACGAGTGAGGTAACTCCTAAGGCTTTCATGTCGGTTATGCTTGATGGTGAGCAGGTGGGTAACCGGCTTCTAGTGTCGGCGTCCTCCAATGAAGTGGGAGACGAAAGACTTGTTTAACTCCGCAAAAGAGTGGATGGAAAAAGGCTTGAGCTTGGCAAACCACTGGCGTGCGGATCCCTTGAGGGTGATAGCGAAGGCTCTACACATAATCCCATTAGGCACGTTGTGAAGTTACATGAGAGATTTGTATGTGTCAAGATGGTCAAAAGGATCTTTGGTGCCACCAAAAATTGCACTGGCGAGCATCTTGAACTTTGAAGGTAAAGAATAGTTGACAACATCTGCCACAAACGGAGTGTCAGTACACCTTACTAGGTAGTCTACAGCAGGGTCACCAGAAAACATTAGAAGACCTACGAACCACAATTTGGGTCGTACGACCCCAAACGTGGGTCGTTCGTGACCTAGATCACTACTATCTCCGACCCCAACTATTTGTCCAATCAATAAACAAAAAACCCAGATCCCAATATAAACCCTAACCCCATATCAAACCAAATTATTGTAAATTACACAGATTAAGTTCTAATAGGCTAAAGTAAAGAGTAGGTAAGTTACTCAATGGATCTCTACTTCGACTTCTTCGGTTCGATTTCTCTGCTTCTCTGGTTTGGGGTTGCAGGGTTGAATCGATAATGTTTTCGAGCTAGGAAAGAAAAAGATCAATGTTTTTTTCCGACTCTTTCTCGGCAACGAACAATGCTCATGAACAGTAACCTATTTTGGGTCCTCCTATTAGCCGAATCAAGTCTGACACTGCTTCGACTTCTTCTATTTCTCTGCGTCGATTTGGCTTCTTCTTCGCAATGAACTGACTTCTTTGGTTCATCGCCCTCTCGGTTTCTCTCTCTCTGCTTCGATTTCGTCGTCGACGACTACTGAGGAGACGAGAACTTCGTTCTCTCTCTCCTAATTGCCACTGACTCTTGTCTGGGAATGGGAGACTTGGGAAATAGTTACCTAACTCTTAGTTAATACCTAGGTGGTGTGAAATTACCATAAAAACCCACTTATTTTATAAAAATAGAGAATATAATTTGGATAAAAAAGTCAAAATTAGGTTAGAAAACATACACATACACGTTAACTATAGCCCTATATATAATATTTTTTAATGTCAATTATATTTTAATCCCAACTGCAACCTCTATAGTCTGTACTGACGGCTACTGTCTCCCTCTTCCTCCTCAATTATTCCTTCGATATCTCTAGTGTGTTGAATACTTCAATTCTTATTACTTAAAAATAGTTTTTGGAAAAAAAAGGAGGGAAGAACAAGATTCTTCTCAAATTAAAGAACAATTCAAAATTAAAATTCAAAATTTGGATGATTCTGCTGATGAACAAGAAGTTAAACATATTGAAATAACGGAAGAAGATAACACTAGATAACCACAAAAAAATCGTACACAGAAAGATCAATTACAAGTTTAAGCAAAATTGAAACCAATACTCAATGAAGTCAATCTTATTGGTGCAACTCAAGGAAAAAATTCAGGAGGATCAAAGAGTTGGTCATATAAGCATTGCGGTGGTAAATTTACAAGTTCGTATACTCGAATGCATTATCATTTTTTTGGTGCCCCATCCAAAAAAAAAGCAGAAATTAAACAGTGTCAAACGTTAATGAAAAATTTGACTGAATATGCAAAATTGCGAGAAATGGTATAAAAGACAAAAAATAGGAGTTTCTTCATCCCTAAAAAATTTTACATTGACAAAGTGGCAACCTTCACCAACGACGGGATCAATTGAAGATGCATTCAAAATAATGGATCGAGACATGGTTGACTTAAAGGTCATGATTCTAGTGATATTAGAAGATTTGCGATAGAAATCCTTGGAGAATGACAATACAGATAATTCTACCATTGTTGGAGGCGAAGATCAGGAAACTTCATCCTTGCATGCTTCTATGCCCGTCTCTATTGACAAACTACCTACTAGTTCTAGCAGGCCACCACTCCATCATTCCGGACTGCATCAGACTCAAATTAGTAACTTTGCAAGAAGAGAGAACACTACGAAAGATAAAAAAAAAAGAGTTGACAATTAACTCATGTGCTCCAATTTTTTTTTATTATTAAGTAATTTTTATTAGAAACTTGTTAGATATTTAAGACTGTTATTTTGATTTGAGCTTTAAGTAGGAACCTATTTAATCGCTCTCTAGTATGTTATTTTTTAAATTTTAAGTTTTTAAATTTATATGCTGTCTTTTTTTGATAATATTATACATGATTATTAGTTGATGTGTTGTTGTTGGTCTTGATTTGCATTTTATAATGTTTATATTTATATAATTCTTTGTAATAATGAAAACGATCCGAATAATAGTTCAAAGCAAACCGTGACCCAAAATAGCGTACCAGCTAAGCCTACCCCCACCACGCACCGCAAAAAATAATATACCCCGCACCTGTACCCGTACCACGTATCCAACCGACCCACGATCCAGTAACCTTGGTCTACAATCTCTGGCGCTTGTGCTTTGATGGCGTTGAGGGCATCGTCAAGTTGGTTTTGGACCTCTAATCTTCTCGTCCCACTGGTTAGGGACATTCTCCATTGGATCATTGTAGTGGCTTTCATGATCAGCATACTAGCTTTCTCCCTCATCTTCTTGCGTAGGTACATGAGGAGGGGGAACACCCAAGCTTCCCGCGCGCTGAAGAGGGACTCTCAGCCGTTGCCTGGGGGCGTTTTGGCACAAGGCTCCACAGTAAGGGGCGGCTTGGCGCCTAGAGTAGCAGTGCTTCTCCTGTCAAAGGGAGTGGTGCTCCTCCTACAAGCTGAGGGGCAATGCCTCCCGAGGCGAGCATCAACTGAATAATTTACTGGTTCTAGTTTACCAGCAGATGCATGGTTTGTAAAAATTGTTGCCCCGACCACAGGAGTCGCCGCAGTGTATGCTTCCGAGGGTACGAGGGGAGGGGGAACTTCCTCCGGGGGGTCGAGTTGTTGTCTCCTAGTTGTTGACTGATTGACCTGGTCGTGATCGCCATAGAAAGTAACAAGGTAGTAGAAAACTTAGTCGTTTCTCACTGACGGCGTCAAACTGATGATATACAAAATAGTCTCATGCAATATCAACAGTTGAATGTGTGATAAGGTATGATTAATGAATAATAAATAAAGTAATCAATGGCAGTAATGTAAATATTGAGTCAACACACAGATATATAGTGATTCAGTCCAAGTGACCTACTCCACTATGAAAAACGGCAACGGTGGCCGGAAAATCTTTATTGATTAAATAAGGTAAGCGAGAGAAAAAGCTCCGGGAGAGGTGTGCTCCAGGAGAGGTACAATAGTTAGGAGAAAAGTTATGTGTGTGGAGAGATATAGAGGTAGAAGTCAATGTGTCCTCTCAAGTAGAGAGGACTTCCAATTTATAAGCATTGAACCTTTGTTGAGGCGGTGACGTCAGAGTAAATGCACTAATTTCTTGAGAAGATAGCTACAAAAGGTAAGTATAATTAAAGTAGCCTTGATTTTCGAGGGTGTGTATCCCTATGATTTATCCCCACATGCTCTTTTCTTCATGGACTCCTTGGACCTTGGGCTGGATGGGTCAACTTGATTAACTGAAATTGACTAGCCTTTTAGCTAATCCAGGCTTACTTGGTTTATTGGGCTAGGCCCAGCTACATTTGGGCTCGTCAAATTTCATTAAATTTAATCTCACCAATTGGTCAAACGGCTGGCTTAGTTTTAGGCGGTGAACACTAAGCCACTTCCAGATGATTGCTGAAAAAACTACCGAAACTATAAAAGAATTCAAAGGATATTCCGATTTTTGCCTTCCAACTTGATGTAGCAACCAGTACAAAAAGACTTGATGTAGCAAGCTCAATTGAGTAAAGACAATTCATTTCCTCGCATACCCCATTATTTTTTTTTTTTTTTTTTTTTTCATTTCTCCAGGAACCAAACAAAATCCAGTTCAAATTTCTCTAAAATGCTAAACAAATTAAATAAAAAACCTTAAAAAAAACCCCATACACTTCATTCATTGAACATAGAACTCGCCAATATAGTAAAACCTAAAAAACGCAATTGAACTCTTCGAATTTAGAACTCACCAATTGCTTAGAAGACTCAACTTCACGATCAGACTCCTCCTCCGACGCATATTCATCATACGCAAACCGACCATAGCCCAAATTCTGCTGATAAAAGTAAGGCAAAGAAGAAGAATAAGACCCATTGCTCCTCTTCGATACAGAAACACCGGGGGAAGCCGCTGAGCACGTGAATGCGAAAATGGGTCTCGGACGATTGTGGTGATGAGATAGCTTTTGGTGCCTCAAGGTAGGGTTTTTGGGAAGGTGACGATTGAAGTGTAGATGAAATATGGTGGGTTTTGGGTGTTTGAGAGTCATGGCCAGGTATGGACTGACTCTGAGGTAGTTGTGACGGAGAATTGACGAGCAAGGCATCGCGGTGAATGCTCAGTCTGAAAGAGTATGAGACATTTCTGTGGTTTAGGGTTCTAGAAAGGAGGTGCTTGGTTGGTTAGTTTTGTTCCACGGGAATTTGGTTGGCTGTGTGCAAAAGCATTGCCGCTGATTTTTTATTCTTTTTAAATTTTTGACTTTTTATTAGGGCTGCAAAGCATAAACAATCCTAGTCTAAGGAGAGTGGTCTTTAATACATTTTTTAATTTTTTTTATATTCTTTATTTTCTTTTCATAAATTCGAATTCAAGTAAGATTTATATATAAATTAGGAGGAGCAAGTAAGATTTATCTAAATTAGTAAGATTTATCTACAAATTAGTAAGATTTATCTATAAATTAAAATTCAAGTAAGGTTTATTTTCTTTTCATAAATTAGAATTCAAGTAAGATTTAAAGTTAAGTGAAAAACTTTTGATTGTCTATTATATCCCTATAAAAAATATTAAAAGCACTTGTATCCTCACTTATTTAATTACCTAATATTAATTATATATTAAATAACTCTTCATATACTTCCATTTTCACAAGAATTATTGTTCCGTGTATTGTATTTTTTTATTTTTTAATTACCTAATATTAATTACTAGTTATTGTTTGTACTTGAAGACATAGAATAATACAAAAAATTGCCAGTAATAAATATATTTATATTCATACCCAAAATCAAATTACAAACATAAAACAAAGAAAAGAATTTAAGCACTGATTGTAGTGGGAGTGAACAGTGGTAGTGGTAGTGGTGGTGATGGGACACGATGATGGTTGTGGTGGGTGACTACAACCCTGGTGATGGTGGCAGTCATGGGTGACAATGGCAATGCTGGTGGTGGATTTTTTATGACGATGGTGACAGTGATAGTCATGGGTGATGGTGGTGGTGGGTGTGGGCGACGGTGATGATTAGTGGTAGTGGTGGTGGTGGGGTAGTGATGAAGGTGATGGTGGGCGACGATAGGTGTTTTTGGACGACAGTGTGATGGGTTGTGGTAAATAACAGTAATGGTGGTGGTAAGTGCGATAGGGGGTGGCGACAGTGGTGGGCGATGACGATTGGTGGTGATAAGTTTGATAGGGGTGGATGACAGTGATTGGCAGCGATGGTGAGCAATGTTGGGTGATGGGTTGTGATAATGGACGACGATGGGTGGTAGTGAGCAACAATGGAAGTGGTGGATGTTGACGGAGGGCGACGGTGATAATGGTAATAAGTATAAAAATGAGATGAAAATTATGGTGGGTGGTTGCAGTAGACGACAGCAATAACAATCGATGGTAGGTGGCAATGATGGTGGGGCAGCAGGGGTAGGATGACGACAATAGCGACAACAATGGCAGTGGTGTTAGTAATGGTGGTGGCGGTGATACGGTGGCAGTGGCGGTGGTGGTGGTGGGGCGATTGGTGTAATGGTGGTGGTGGGGTGGCGATAGTGGTGGTGGCAATGACAGCGGTGGAGGTGATAGTTGTTGTGGCAGAGATGGTGATGGGGTAGCGACGGCGGTGGTGGTAGTGGTGATGGTGGTGGGACGATTGGGGTGGTAGTGGTGGAACGGTTTTCAAACACTATTTTTTTAAAAGTATTTATGAGAAGTTATAAGTATTAAATACACTTTTAAAAAGTCACTCCAAATATACTCTTAGAGCCTTATTTTCTATATTAAATTTGGAGTGTTAATATTAACTGTCAGATTAACTTTAAAAGTAAAATTTAAAAAGATCTCAACCGCGAATAGTAAAAGTCATTTTGTTTATCTTTTGAGATTTGAATTGTATTATACTTTATTATATTTATATATTCAAATGACTCTTTATATATTTTCATTTTCACAATAATTATTGCTTCATGTATTATAATTTTTTTCTAAGTTAATGACACTATCTCTCTTTCATTTACTTTTCAAAAAAAAATTTGTTGACAATAAATCCATTAATCATCTTTACTTTATGAAAAGCAATAGGTTATCATTAATATGACTATTATGTCATTGATAACCATCATAAAGTTTCTTTTATCATTTTTCTAATATAAACTAATGTGTAGCTTTGCAAACTGTACAAATTTCTGACAATAAATATATTAATTAATCAAATGGAATTTGAATCATTTCATCTTCTATATTTATGGCTATGTGGACAGCTAAGAATCAAATATTTAATCTCATAAATGTCAATCATAAATTAATTATAATACTATTTTATTCCTCTCTCATTCTTTCATATTCATGTTTTTTATTGCAGGTTATTACTCATTTCATATGATTTATGTTTTGCTTGGAGTTTGGCTTGCACTAATATCTTTAAAATTCTCTTCTTGATTTGTCAAGTGTTTTTTATTTATGAACAAGCGTGATCAATTGTGGAAGGTCAGTGTGACACTAGTATCTTGAAATTTATTTACTCTAAATCATATACCTTCTATGTGTTTAATTTCCATGATAATAGGGTCATTTTTTGTTTAGTAGTGAAACTCATTTTGCATTTTAACATTATATCACGTGTGTAAAAAAAATTACATGATTCTTCTCATGCATTGAATAATTGAAACGAGATCTTCTATCATATGAATCATGATTCAACTAGGTTTTTTGAATTGCTCTAGGACATAAGGTACCAAAAACCAATTTTTGACAATATACATTTTATACATTTTACCATTTGAATATGGTAAAATAAATTTTAGTATGTTCATTATAGATTTTTGTGGATAATTCTTTTTTTAGAATGTTCATGAAGCATATATGACATTTTTTTTGAAGTGTAATTTAATATTTGTCTTTCAGTAAATAATGAAACAATTAGTGTTCACCAATTATTTGTTTTTGTTATCAAAAATATAATAATGAATTTTGAGGTAGACCGTCTCAAGCTTATCATAATATAAGCATCCCTTTGTTTGTTATCCTTTTAGAAACGATGAATATTAAATTTGGAGTAGACTATTAAACTCTAATTTTAAATTTTAGTATGTGGCTAAATTTGTCCATAACATAAGTTTCACTAGATACTACACAAAATATTTAAGCAAAGTTTATTTATACAGTTGATGTTATTTCATAATTTTTATAGCAATAATATATTATTTTAAGCAAATAATATTTGTTATCCTTTTAGAAACGATGAATATTAAATTTGGAGTAGACTATTAAACTCTAATTTTAAATTTTAGTATGTGGCTAAATTTGTCCATAACATAAGTTTCACTAGATACTACACAAAATATTTAAGCAAAGTTTATTTATACAGTTGATGTTATTTCATAAGTTTTATAGCAATAATATATTTGATATTGAAAATAATCCACATGCAATGCACTTCTATACAAAAAAAACATATAAATTTACATATCTATATCTATATCTATCTATCTATATTTATTACTGATAGTGTATTTCAACATGATGCAATTTTGTGACGACGAGTAAATAAAAGAAACAATCTTGGAATTATTGGGATCTGAGCTACTAGGCTCGAGGGAGTGATACTGAGAATTGTTGGGGAGTTAGAGAATTAACACAGTAGAAATATAGTGGTTCACTGGCTCAAAAACTCGGTTAATCCATTCTTCAATGGATATTCTTGCTCCTTCCTTCACTCTTTACTATATCAAAAAGGGTTACAAAATGTACGAAGTGATACTAGGGTTCTTGCCCCTCTGTTGGGGGCGTTACATAGTATTTATAGGGGTATCCCTTAATTTATGAGATCCGATTCGTGATCCTTGCCATCTATCTAAGGAATTCTCCTTAGTCTTAAGAGAGTATCTTGGTTGGTTGAGGATTTTGTGCCTTGAGTGTTATTTCAAACCGTCTTTCGAGTTATTTGTAGTATCCAGTTGTTTTCTCCCTGGTTCAGCTTATTATCTCGCTCTGGGGGGAGTTCTAGCTCTGATTTTCTGAGCTCTGCATAACTCTGACCTTTTGAGCTCAGCTTACCTGATCTCCGTTCCTGAGCTCCAGCTCGGCAATCATTCTGAGTATCATCAGTTGCCCCCAGCTCTTGGCCGAGCTAGCTCGAGCAAGAGCTGAACTTAGGATGTAACAGTGATAGCTTCCCAATCAGTTTACGTAGGAATATATATATATATATTTATTATTATTATTATTATTTATTTTTAAAGCAGTTGTCAGTAATCATTTCCTTCCTCGTTCCTTGTGCACGTTGTCCGTTTCGAGGCCCAAGGAACCGTAAGCTCTAAATACCCTTGGATCACCGATTTGTTCCTCACTCTACAGATCCTTTTCGGCTTCCTTATCCTTTCACAACTTCATCTTCCCCATTCTGTTGCTGGTTTTAGGTTTTTCTCTGAGGGACGATTACCCCAGTTTCGACTTGGAGGCTTAGCGTGATTTAGTTCTGAACCCCCTCCTCGAGCTTTAATCTATCACCAATTCGCGGTTATGTACGTTTTCCCTTTCTTTCCCAGCTCCTTGCCCTGGATCCCTTAAGTCTAAGGTGGTTTTGGCATTTTTGGGCCTTTCGATTCTGCTACGCTAGGAGCTGAAGTATTCCCCTGTCTCGTCTTCCTCTCTTCTTGGACCCTTACTCCACAGTTAGGATTTTTGTCATCGATTTTCAATGTCTTGCTCCTTGGGCTCTCAAAGAGTGTTTCTCCGAGGTCCCCCCTCTTTATAGGTCTTTTAAGCTTCCTTATTCTTGTCCAGCTATGTCTGCTTCCTCTGAAGCTACGGGATCGCCCGTTTCGCTAATGAAAGATGGGTTCGTTGAGGAAGATTCCGACCTGGGGGATGTGGGGTTAGAGATAGATGATTTCTCCGGAGTGGACTTTGTCAATGTTGAGGGAGGCACTGAGGAGCCTCCTCCTGCCCTAAAATCTCCCAGCAAAGGCAAAACCAAAATAAGTGGTGTGGGGATTTCAGGCAGTACTGAGGGTGGTGTTGCTGCCCCCAGGGCCTCCGAGCTCGTGGGGTGTAGTGACATCGTTCCTTCTTATATGAAGGTGCTGCCTGCCCCCTTTGGGTTTCCTCAAGGCCTCTAGTTCTGGAGTCCGAA